GGCAGGCCCTTCCTCTGGCCCCTGAGGAGCTGCGCCTCGAAGCCGCAGCCGCTTCTCCCCGTCCTCTCCTGGCTGTCACTCCAGCCCTGTCCCCAGGGTCCCCGCTCTGGCCCCAGGCCCTCCGCTCAGTCCAGAGTCCTCGCTCCTCTAACCTGTGAGACGCCCCAGGTCCCACCTACCTCCTTCGCCCCCAAATTCGATGGAGCCCGCATCCCGCTGTCCCCAGAACGGCCCGGCCTCCCTTCACGTCGCGACCAGTACCCATTCTCAGAGTCGTCCTGGTTGCGGCCCCCTCCCGAGACGTCGCACTTCCTTCCTCGCAGCCGCACCGGGACTCCATCTGCGACCCTGCCCCTCCACCCCTTTGAGGGAGTTGACCTGAGCTTTCCGTCCCTCACCCCACCCGGCGGAGTCATCTACCAGCCCCCCAACCCTCTGCTGGCGGTCCTAGTTTAAGGACCCCACTACCCCCCGCCAGCCTTTAATAGCTCCTTTAGCTCTTCCCACTTCCACCTGCCGCAGTATCTCCACTTTGATTTCCTTCCAGCTCAGTTTGTTCCCTCCCCTCCCCCGCCCTCCTCACTCTAGATCTCGTCCTTTTCATTCCCAGGCGGTTGCAGTCTGCATCCATCCCCCTCTTAGCAATTCCTAGAGTGGAAAATGCCAGAGAAACGGCCTTGGGATATTAGGGAGAAAAAGTGTGTGTATGCGTGTGTGTGTGTGTGTGTGCGCGCGCGCGTATTAGGTATATGCGTATGAAATTGATTTCAGCAAGGTTCAGAAGCCACGATGTAATTCTCAAGATGCATTCTAGAAGAGTTAAAACAGGAAACAAAGCAAACCCCCTCCCAAAAAAAAACAAAAAACAAAAAAAAACAAAAAAAAAAAAAACAAAACCCAGAACAAAGCCTCCAAAACTCAACCACCTAATTAGACCTCTGGTTGATATTAAGTGGAATCCCCAGACCCTTGATTAGTTTTCACTGTTAATGCTTCATGGTGAAACTTTTTCATTAGTCTGTACTCTTTAAGGGTGGCTGGGGGTGGGGGCAAGACTGACCTCACGTTTGTGTGCCTAATTTGTATTTTGGACTTAACAGACACCAGAAGAAATAGAAAGACTGACAGTTGATGAAGACCTCAGTGATATTGAAAGGGCCGTTTATCTGCTCAGGTATTTCCTAATCTTTCTGTGAAACTGCTGTTGTTTCCCGGTGGCGGCAGGGTGAATGCTTTCTGAAATGTCACTTACAGTGGTGTTCAGATTTACCTAGCCACCGGAAGGGAACGGGGTATTTTTGTATGCACACCACTTAATTATGTTGTAAATTAGATTTAGGTATGGACTTAGGAATTTGAGAACTGGAATCAGTTGAGATACCTAATTTATACAATATTGCTTAGAGGAGGAGGAGTAGAACAACTTGTAGTATATATTAAACCTCAACCTTTTTTCCTTTTCTGGCTTTGGTTTTTCTCATATAAGATTCAGTAAGTTTAGATGATATGTAAGAGTATCCCATGATTATTTTAAGTGCATTTTTCAGGCTGTATGCCCCAAGGTCTGGCCCTTATTTTGTACTAGCATTGTAATTCCAATAAATTTTTTCTCCTTATAAAAAATTATTTTTAGTTCATTTTGGAGTATGAATATTAACTCTGTAGAAAAAAAGCCCCACAAATATGGTAGTTCAATTTGCTGCTCTATATAGCCTCTTTATATTACTTTTGCTGTGTGAGCATTATAATTTTGCTTGAGAAGTTTTTTAATTGAATTGAACCTACCCTTACAGAAGTTTCAAACAATCTCTCTCTCTCTCTTTTTTTTTTTGAGAGGTTTTTGCTATAGGGTGCGTTCGCTCGCCAGAAAGACAGAGAGAGACAGAGAGATAGAAAGCGAGACCCCCCCCCTCCCCCAGGAGGATGGCCTCGCTGCAGTCTCTTCTCCTCCATTCTCCTCTTGGGATCTTGGGCATGTAGGCACACAGGCCCGGCGTGAGGTTAAGCCACTCGGTCTGGGACTTGAACCATGGTTGACTATGTGGGAGTTCAGCGACATAGCCATTACGCTAACTGCTGGTCCCCAGTTTCAAACAATCTCACAGGGTCTATAGAATCACTTTTCAAGATTTTTCTGAACTATTTAAATTGGATCGTAGATTTCTATCTTGTTAAAAGCTAATACAATGAACATTAATGAACATACCCATGAAAATACTTCAGAAGCAGAAATTTCCCCAAGGCATTTTGTATACATTTACTTCCAAAAAATGTCCTAAAATGGCATAACACTTTTTCCCATTTTGGCAAATTATTGATAACTTTCACTTTTTTGTTTAGTTTTGTTTTTCAGAGTCGGATTTTGAAAACTAGTGTTATTTACCTCTGAGGATATTTGTCATCCTTGTTTCCCTTAGCTCAGGTCCAGTTTCAGGTACTGGCAAGTTTCTCCTCCCTTCGTGTTTATAGATCATGTTTCCAGCTCCGTGTTATTCATTGAGTGATCCTGTAACAGTCTCTCTCCAGGACTTCTGTTTGCTGAATTCTTTAGCTTACTAGAGGCATCTTGAATTCTGTTCTTTCTTTAGTCAGAATATCAGCATGCTCAAAATTATCCTATTCCCTCCAATAAGTCTGTCATTAAAAATGTTTCTGATTCTTAGGCTTTAGACTTTATGTTGATGTTATTCTTTTCCCTTTTGGTCATCTATGGTAGCATGCTCTCATCCTTCCCACCGATTTATTAAAAAAAAATTTATTTTATATATCAATTAGCAGTACTTACTAGTATACTTAGAAAATAATCCAATTCAACATTTCATTTCGATATTTTATTGTGTTATATTTAAAGTACTTTATTTCTTAATAATTATATCTAATATGGTGAACAATAATTGTCTTCCTTTGCCTTTTCCTGTCGTTTTTTTACAGTAACTACAGTTGATGAAAGTTTAGATAAATGTCTTTTAACCATGCAGCAGCTAATTATTTGAATGAGGTCTTACTCTTACTGAAGTCTTTTCCTTTAGCATAAACACTGGCTTACATTTAGGAAATAGAGAATCTTGCTCTACTTGTGACAGCAGATACCCTAGTCTAGATACCAGTGATAAGGCTTCTTTTTTAAGAAAACCTTGTTTTCTACTTTGCTTTTATCATTTGTTAGTGAATCAGGTTGTCTAAATTGTCTCTTTCTCAAACACAACATAACTTTTGCTCAGTTCTGCAATGTACAAAGCCCTTATAGAAATATATGGGCCCTCTCAGACAAAGTTTTAAGAGACATGATGTTTCCTTTACCTTCTCGTGGCTCACCTTCCTCGAAGGAGGTTTGCAAGGTGACTCAGAAGGTGAACACTAGTTAGGTTGTGTATGGGTTCTCCAGCTGAGTTTTTCTTTTTATTCCTACCATCTCACTATCTCCTGGGAGGGAGAAACTGGAATTTCACCTTTAGGCCAGCTCCCAGAATAATGCCAAGACTGCCCGAAAGCTGCTTTTTTCCCTGGGATCAGGGTGGGGGAAGATTGTCTCATAGACACGTTCCAAACTTCACCTCTGTTTAAAAGCCTCCTCATCTGCTTTAATGTATTGGTTGAGTCTTCTATTTTAAATATAGTTTAGTTCTTTATTTTTCATTTGTACTTTACAGTGCTATAGAACCTAATACCAAGTCCTGATTTTTCCCTCTCAGTCATTTTCAGGTCTTTTTTTTTTTTTAAAGTACTTTACTTTTTCTTCTATTGGATATGTTTAATATTCATGTATGTATGTACATGTGAATTTGCTCTGTGTTTTAGTGTGTCAGATTTGATTTTTCTTGTATTTTTTAAAAACTATTTTAGGGCCCAGCATCAATGACACAGGTGAAAGGGCACTACTACATGATGCTGGAGCCATGTGAAAGGCTCTGGGTTCAAATCCTTTAGTCTGCTTGACATGCGGGATGGGGATGCTCATGATCCTGACTGACTGGAAGGCTGGATTGAGGGGGATTGTGGCATGACAAGATCCTATGGGGTTGCCTGTCACTTTCATTCTCTCATGAAGGAAATATTAACAAATCAGCTAATAAAACTTAAAAAATCCATTTGGGGGTGTGCAGCAAATGGTGTAGCAGTTCCATTGCTGGACTCCCATCATGGTTCGAGTCCTAGACCCGGTGGCTTGAAACTGACACTGGGCATGAATGCTCAGGATCCCAGGAAGAGAATGGAGGAGGAGGGATTGCAGTGTGGCCATCCCCCCCAGGGGGGTCGGTGGGTGATTTCTTACTTTCCCTTCACTGTCTTTGTCTCTGTGCAAGCGCACACACCCTAAGGCAAAAGCCTCTAAAAAAAAATTCCCATTTTGGAATATTATGTTAAATGAGAATTCAGAGTCATATCTGTAAGTATTAGTAGGAAATGCTTTATATTAGTGGAGGTTTGATAGCATTTAAATTGAATCTACTATCTAATAAAAGCATTATATACAGAATATTGTCATCCAATGCAAAACAAATTACACTGTTAATTATCTTGCTATAAAATATGACAAGTTCATTATTAATACTATTTTCATAATTAAGTTTAGAACATTATGGTATTTGAAGATTTGACACAGATGCATTTGTAGTTTTGCATAAATAGGATGCTGATATACCCATCTGTGGCATTTAGCACTGCAGCAAAACAAGTTTCCTAATACTCACAGCTTGTGTCTTAGTCAAAATCATATCATAGCATCTTTTTCCTGTTCTTTCTCTTATTTATGATTTTGGCATATATTTTAGGAACCTACTTAAAATGTATGAGTAATTTTGCTAGAGGAAAGTCCTAAGTATGTATGCTTTCATTAAGTGTACCTTTACTCATCTATCTCTAATTGTTCGCTAGATAAATTCTAGACCCACAGTCAGGCATTCAGAATACTCCATAAGTGACTCCATCTTAGCTGTGCAACGTGATGTCTCACCGATCCCTCACTTTTTCAAATGCTTTTCTTGAGCTATAATTCATATTTCATGTAGTCCACCTATTTAAAGTATACAGGTCAGTGAGTTGCACCGTATTCACAGAATTGTGCAGCTATCACACAGCCAGTGTTAGGATATTCATCATCCCAGAAAGAAACCCGTACTATTAGTTACTTTTTACTTCCCAACCTTCCTAGCCACTGGGAGCCACTAATCTGCTTCCTGTCTCTGAATTAGCCTATTCTAGACATTCCTATAAATGAATCATTCAGTATGTAGCTTTCCATGACTTTCACCGAGCGTAATATTTTCACCCATGTTGTAGCTTATATAAATACTTTATTACATTTTATTGTTTTTTTTTTTAATTTGGTTTTTATTATTATTTCAGTTTGACCAGAAAGAGAGAAAGTGAGAGAGCAAATCACCAGACGAGGCCTTGAATCATGGAAGGGCCATGTGGGAGTCCAGCACCTCAACCAACTCGCCACCTGCTGGCCTTTACATTTTATTGTTGAATAGTATTATATGGATACACTACACTGTACTTACCCATTCATCAGCTGATGAATATTTGGGTTGTTTCCACTCAATTCACTTTTTAAAGCAATCATGCTTGCCTCTTCCATTACTCAGATATATTGTGTTCATCCTTACTTTACCTTTTCTTGTCCTAGAATACCCTTTCACTGTATCTATCCAGCATTTACCATGCCTAGACCCAGCTATCTGTACATTTTTTTGTAAGGCCTTCCCTAACTGCTGAAATCACATGGATCCCAACTCAGACTTCCCTGAGCTTCTGCCGTATCATACGGTGGCTGCATCCCTCAACTGGTGGTTAATCATTGCTCTACAAGCCTTCACTGTATTGCCTTAATAGACTGTAAGCTCTTGGAGGATACGCTATATTTTATGTTGTTGTTTTGGTCCTTTTTTCCCCTTTGTTGAAGTATAAACATAAACCTTTTACTGGAAGGAAACATATTTAAGTTGACCAAAATCCTAGATGATGAGCTAAGCAATTTCTGAGTTTTTTGTATTGTGGGCAATAGCAACAGACAGACTGAGGTTACATCCTGATTCTTTTTCTTTTTTTTTTTTAACAGAGGGAATGTGCATATGTGTGTGTGTGTGTGTGTATGTGTATGAGAGAGAGAGAGAGAGAGAGAGAGGGGGGGAAAGAGAGAGAGAAAGAGGAAACCTCTTATTGTGCCAT